TGTATATATACACTCTTTATATATATATATATATATATATATATATATATATATATATATGTAACAAGTTTCATGACCTCTCTCAATCGTTATAAACTTCAACGTTTATTGCAAACAATTCATCATCATTTGTACAAAGAACGTATTTTGCATGAGATTTCATGCAAATCAACGTGGCTCGAAGGGTTCTCCCATTGCACGAGCTCTTTGATCCTCTCTTCGATCTCTCTCATCTCCTTCACCATTCTCTCCATGCAAAACCCCAACGCACCCAAACCCAGCACCGCGTCACTCTTGTCAACCTCTTCCACTTCTCCTTCACGCCGGAGATACGACCCCAAGACCTTATCCGTATCATTCTCGGCTCTTGAAAAACTAGGGTTCTTGGTCTTCCCCACCTCGATGTCCCAAGAGACATTGTTCTCGACCAGCGCGTTTTCCAGTGCGTTTATCGACTTCAGAAGAATAATCTCCTCGAAAGATTTAGCGACAGAAGCTATGGACTCTGTCAGATTCTTCAGGTCTTCTTCCGCTTCAATCAAAACCTTTTTACTCTGAAGCCTGTCCGTTTCTTGTGCTCCAAGAAACCCTATTGCGTGAGCGCTGAATTGCAACAGATCAGCCATTTCGGAAAGCGAACGGAATAACTTGTCATAGCAAGAACAGTTGAAGGGCAAGAACCAGAAACTCGGCTCGGCTTGGGCTTCTTCAGTGAATTTCTTGAGCTCAATCAAATGGGTTTTCACCTTTTTCTGGCTCCGGATTATCTCTGCCTTACCCCCTTTCTCCCCGAACAGGCTTGCACACTCGTGTAATGCATGGAAGCTTCTAGAAAGCGTGAGTTTTGCGAGAGTTGAACCCCTTGTGGGCTGCAAGATGAGCTCAATCATGATCGAACATGACAAGCCGATAAAAGTCTCGACAATTCTCGCGATGGCAAACTCGCTCGGTGGTCCAAAATTCTTTCTCCCGAGGATAAGAACAGCTCCAATCGCAGCCGAGATTGCCCCGGCTTGTCCATACATTCGGCTCTTACCCAAGAAGCTCGAGAAGACGAACCAAGGTAGCAAAGACAGGAACCTTATTGGCAAAAACCTCTCAAAGACAAAACATCCCATGACTCCATACACTGTCCCTATCACTGTACCTTGAGCCTTAACGTTTGCCACCTTGAAAGTCGCCTCTCTCGCAGCAGCAAAGCTGATGGCAACAGGTAAACCGGACCAGTAACCGTTTGGTTTACTGTACATCGAACCGAACAAAACAGCCAATCCTAAAGAAAGCGACAGCTTAATCGCCGGCATCATCCTCTTGCTGCCCAAAGCGCTTCTCCAGTTTATGCTGAACCAACTTTTGTCCTCTTCCAAAGAAGATTCTGGTTTCTTGTCCTCGTCGTTCTCCGGTTCAGCCATTGATATATTCTCGAGGAGCTTCAGACAGAACAAGAAGAAGTAAAAAGGCAAATCTTGATGCTTGCCCGGGAATTCTTGAAGTGTTTGGAGGCACCCGGAGGCGTTGTCGGGATCAGATTCTGGGTTTACGGACGGCTGCAGACAGTTATTTATCCGTTTGATGGTGAGAGTGACGCCTTCTTGTATCTTTATCAAGCCGTCTTTTACTTCTCCGGCAAGTAATGTCGCCGGAAAAGAAGACGTGTTGGTTAAAGCCATTTCCATTCCTCTTAGAGCGATTTCCATGTTTTGTAGTTTATCTCCTGTGTTCTCGTTGAAGTGTTGCGATCTGCACAGCTTGAACGGAAGCCTCTCCCATTTCATGCTTGGCTGTAAAAATAGTGAACAGAATTAACAATAAATAACATCCATATGATAATACACACACACACACACACACATATATATATATATATATATATATGGTAGCATAAACGTGTATATGTATACGTATATGAACACATGTACGTCTACGTGATTTTATGTACGAGACAATGAAAACTTGGGATGATAATTAATTACTTGGTAGCGTTTAATGGTTTGGTAAAGCTTGGAGGAAGGGGGAGCCAATAATCTGGCCTGAGAAATCGACGTGGTTGCTGACGTGGCATCATCAGCACTAAAGGCCTTGATATACAGCTTCAGTCTCTCCGATATATTTTGGCCAATCTCCTTGCAGCTTTGTTTCACCTGTCGACACATCATGGGAAACCCACGATGAGAATTTAATATATGTATATATATATCTATATATATCTATATATATATATATATATTATTTATATGTATAAAAACAGGACAGAATCTTGTACCGTAGCTATAACTATGCGTGGATTCTCTGCGAGCATATATATTATTATAATTAAGCGATTGGTGTGTAGTTTTAATAGTATAATAAATATCAGTATTGTGGAATATATGTATAGATTTATTTATGTTATTAAGAAAGGGAATCATAGTCTTAATTTCCGGTCATGCATAGAACTTGTTCTCCAAATCAATTTTAGTATCCGTAGAGAATATCGATCTGTGGTGGTTGATGATGTAAAAAAAGTGTATATATGTATTTATATATATATATATATATATATGGCCACTACAATATTATTGGAACAAAGTTTGCGATAAATCTAATTAGCCACGCCCATATGTCGTGTCTGACTGTGTTACCACTATACCTATATAAATTGGTGTATATATATTCAAAACTATACATAAAAATTTTTGTTTTTTTCCTCCTCCGCACGTACAAAAAATTTGTTCTCCTTCCAATCAGTAGCTCGCGCGAGTATTAGGATGATACGTATATCGCATGTATATACATCTAGAACATCGTCTCAGAATTTAATATACTAAATAATTAATGCAGCTTGAAGTTAAATGCGTACGACTACGTTGTCACTTTAAATATATATACGCATGCATATACATAAAATATAATTATATAAAATCGAGATATATATTATAGATATACGTACATGTATATAACAGCGCGCGCTTGAGGCTGATGAGAGCAGGACCCACGCTCTGACACGTGGCGTAGACGGCGAGCCAGCAACCTCGGAGGGTGTCGCCGAGCGTGGCGTCGGTGATGATGAGTATAACGGTGACATAAGAGAAGGCCGGGAATGCTACGTAACGGAGGAGCGACGTGGGGCCGTAGAGTGTCACGGCTCCGACGATGGTGCAGGCAAGGGCCGTCCTGAAGGCCGAGGCCAGGCACGTGCGCCACATTGCTTGGGCTCGTTCCGTCATGGCCATTTTCATCGATCGTAGCGTTAATTTGTGTGTGTGTGTGTGTATGCAAAGCGAAACACAGAATTCGAGCCCTAGAGATTGAGAGACTTAGGACAAAACCTGAGAGAGAAATGAGAAAGGTTTAGATTTGGGAGTATGTTTTGTATTGTGTAGTGAAATGGAAGTGAATTAGAATATGGAATAATATATGGGAGGTGACTATGGGTGTTTATAAATATGTATACACAATATAAGTGGGTGCTTAAGTGGCACGTGGAGGTGCGCCAAGTGGGTTCCAAGTGTGTGGGTTATGACGTAATAAATTTAAATGAAATTCAATAAAAAGAGCTTTAGTGAATATGTACATGTATGAGAGAGAGATTGAGTATGCCAAGTACGTATGTGAGGTTGCGGCAGAATTAAATGGCTAAACTAAAGTAAAATGGAAACCAGATTTGAATAAAACTCTTTCGTATCTATTGAGGATTTGGAGTTGTGAAACAACTTATTATATATAATGTTTGGCAAGAATTAATCATTAATTACATATGGCATTTTATTAGCTATTATTTTTAATAAATCGTTCACGTCATTAATATAATGTTTTTTTATAAAAGCTATTAATATAATGTTATAACATTATTATAATGTCGGCAGAATTTCCTTTGTTACTTTGTCGATAGTTTCTCTTTAAAACAATTTGATGCGTTTTATTGTATTATTTAACAAAATGATAACAGCTCTGAGCCATTCAGAATAAAAGAGAATTAAAATATGATTTTTCTCGAACTAAGGATAATGCAAATGGTTATATTATATATCCACAATTCTCGTGTATTATAAGGTGGGAATTTGTAATTTACAAAGGAGAGGGCGAGTGATTTCACCTATATATATATCGTTGTTACATTTTATTTTATATGAGTAAAGGACTTATGGAATCCATCGACCAACAAAATAATACTAATAATATTAATAATAATGATGATGATAAAATTAACTCAATTGACTTTCTCCATGTATATCAAATTCAAACAAATGATCAAAACGGATGACGATTCGGACATTTTAGTTTGGAGATATCAAATTCAAACAAATAACAAATAAATTAAAAAGTTTTTTAAAAATGATTATTTCTTACTAAATTAAATGGAAAATTAAATTCAACATAAATCGCAATTGGTAAAATTTTTAAAAAACCAAATTATTATATAAAAAATAATCAAAACGAATCCGAATTAAAATCCAAAATATCAAGAATATCACGACTTAGCCAAGTCACTTAATGTTCCATCGTTTGCCTCCGAAAGCACTATTTGGAGATGTGATTTATTGTATTATAGCTTTACTTAATAGATGTAATAAATTATTAATAATAGTTAAGTTAATATTTAACAAAGTGAACCCGTCCCAACACATAAATCAAATTAAGGAAATCTGTAAAAACTAGAGATATCAATTTAGTTCGAGGTGAAGTCCTGCACGAATCAATCCAAAAAATAGCAGATTTTAGACTTAAGTTTTTAGGCCTGAAAAAAATTGGGTTTTTGGATCGGACTCAAATCGGATTTCAGGTTCGTTTCAGGATGATCTGAAACTTGAATTTTTTTTTTTTAAAAAAAATTCTTAATAAAAAATACATTTATAAAGAAAATTGTGTAGATTAGGCCGGATCCGAATTCAAAATCTATAGGATCGGATTTTGGATTCGGCTAAATAAATACGAAAAAAATCGTTTTGGCCCAAACCCGAATTCGAAACTATCGGGCTATAAGTACGAGTTTAGGCCAGATCTATCTGATTGACACTCCTAACAAAAACTCATAAAAAAAGCGAGGATGAACATTAGCCACGTTCGAATCCCTCACCAAATTTATTTGTCTATTAAAGTATACACACACACACTTATATACATATATGTATATACAGACACACAACAACAAAACCATAAAAATGCATAGTTTAGTTTTTTTGTGCTGCGTTCTATCCTTATGTGACGGCCAATTTGGTATATATATAACAAAACACCAATAAGAAAATGGAAACTGATCTCTTTTTGGAAAAAGCTTAGTATTTTATATATGAAATTTACACAGACGCACGCATATATATATATATACACACACATGTTTATACCATTGAATAATATACTATTTGTGAGAGGAATTGCAAGAAATGTTACTTTAATTTAATGGCTATATAAATAAAATAATAAAAGACAAATGTGAGTTAAATCCGTATTTATTAACGGCTAGGCTTCTAAAGAATACATGAAAGAGGAAACAGGTTCTAATGCGAGAGAAGAAGAGCTGAATAAAACGTTGTCAGCTAATTAAACAACAAAATTATAATTTAATTATTTATCTTATAAATCATTTTTACAAAGTGGGATTTCTCTAGATTTCCACTTACAATAATAATATTATAATATTATTGGTCCCGATTGTACCGAATTTTACTTGGATTTTCATTGATCCTTGAGGAGGAGGAAGGGTCAAGTCGGGGAGTTGCGGATCCTTATTTGAATTTTGGTTAGTGCATTTGGTTAGTTAAAGCAAACTTATTATATAGTTATTCATTTAAATACTAATAAAAAAATATTATTTACAAAGTTATATAGCAGTCCAATCTTCTCCTTTAGGTGATTATATATATTCAAGTTTGGACATATATATATATATTATAAAGCTTCTATCTATCTCTGTGTATATATATACCAAATAAACTATACAGTTTACAATGGAAAACTAATATGTCTAAATTTTTCTGAGTCGGTTAGTTTCGGTTGGTTTATCTGTTCCATGTGGTTTGTTAATTATTGCGGGGAGTCGAAGAGTTTAGTGTCCGAAATGTCGTCTGGTCCGCGGGACCGAACGGTGTACGGCCCGAAGGAATGTGGAGACTGTCTCCACCGTATAAAAAAAATGATATGTTAGTCATATGATTTGATTACTCATGCAGATGTAGAAAGACATGTTATATTCAATTCAAGGGACCGACCGAGTCTACATTCCCATGTTTTAAATTACAAAACCGGTGAACAAAAATTAGAATATACAGGAAGTTTATGTCGAATTTAAATTTCTGTCTATACATATTATTATATTTTTCTTTGGTTTATTTTCTCTTATTTTAGAATTTTTATTAAAAGCTATATATAGTCCATTTGTAAATATGTTGAATGGTTAATAGTAATAACAACAACCAGGGCCGTCTCAAACTTTTATAGGGCCCTGTACATTTTATAAAATTTAATTAATAAAAATTATAAATTTATATAATAAAAATATTATTATTAAAAATATTTAATAATAAAAAATATAATTTTATAGAATAAAAATTAATAATAAAATTATTTACTGATTTAGAAAAATTATTAATTACGAAAAAAATGTAATTATCGTCAATAAAGTTTGTAATGTTTTTATGTATTAATGATAATAATATTAATTTATAAAGGAAATCCATAAAATTAGGATTCATAAATACAAACTATTTTCAAATTTTAAAATAAAATGATTAATTTCTTCTTAAAATATAGAAATTGTGAAATCAATTTAAAAATTCAATTTAACGTTGAATTTGTATTAATAATAAACTAGAAAAAGTAAATTTTATAATCTAATTAATTTTTATAGTATATTTATTTATTTATTCTATAATAATTATATACTAAAAAATTATTAGAATAATGATTTCACAAAATTTAATGTTAAATTATAAAAGATATTTTATTTTTATAATTAATAATAATTATTATTTTTTTTTAAAATGGGGTCCCCAAATTAATGGGGCCCTGTTCAAACGCACCGGTTACACTTGCTAAAAGAGTGCACTTGCTAAAAGATGCCCTGACAACAACCATAATAGTTTAATCATTTGAGAGGTATTCAACTTAACCACAATAATTTTGCATATAAAATGTTTCATATCCTAGATTTGGTTGCGTGATCAAAGTGCTGAGA